GCGCGCGACGCCGCCGCGCCGCGGGGGCGGGAAAACGACGTCTTCGGCGCGCGACCGCGCGCGCGCGCGACCTTTTTCGGCGGCCAGCGGCTGGCGCGGCGGCCGCGGGCCACGCTGGGCCGCGCGCGTCGGCGACCCGCGGCCCGGCGGCGCCGCGGAAGGGATCGCTCCGGCGCATGAGGCTCCTTTCGCGATCTTCGCGGGTCCGCGCGTCGCGGGATTCGCAGCGTTTTCCTCCGTTCTTTCGACGGAGCGCGGCCCCGAGGGGGTCTCCAAGACGTCCTAGAAGCACGCGTCCGGCGAGGGGGCGGAAGGGCGTCGACGCGCGCATAAATCAGACTGATTTTTGCGGCGCCGGGGGTGGTTTGCGTAGTCGCTGCACAGTGCCGGCGGGCCGTGCGCCAAACGACTGCGTCACTGCTCACACGAGCTGCTACCACCGTCGTTCGTCGCTCCTCGCACCGCGCGCGCCACTCCATCCACTTGCGCAACAAAAACGACAACCACCATGGCCGCGCGCCGCAGCAGCCTCGCGCGCGCCGCGGACAAGACGGAGGACGTCATCTCCCGGGCCTGCGCCGTTGTGGCGACCTTCGCGTCGCGCAAGCCCTGGCGCACCGTGGGCCTCTGCCTCTTCCTGAGCGCGGTGCTCGCGAGCGGCTTCTCCCAGATCAAGAACGAGGCGCGGCCCGACAAATTGTACGTGCCCGCGTACATGAAATCCCAGGAGGACCGGGCGTGGATCGACGACCGCTTCGGCTCCGCCGACGTCGTTTCCTCCGTGCTCCTGGACCACCGCGGCGACGCGAATCTCCTCACGAAAGCCGCGCTCCGCGACGCCTTCGACGTCTACGAGGACGTGCTGGCCATCTCGGCCGAGGGCGGCGCGACGGGCTACGACGCCCGTAGCTGCGCGGTCGGCGGTTGGAACGGCCTCTGCCAGAAGTCGTCGATCCTCGCGTTCTGGAACTACAGCCGGGCCGCGCTCGAGGACGATCCGGACGTGCTGGCCACGGTGAACCGCCCCGCGCCGGACTGCTGCTCGCCCGTGGGCCGGGCCGCGTCGCTCTTCCGAGTCGCGGCGAAGTTGCGCTACGACGCATCCGGCGCGGTGGCCTACGCGGGGTCGCTCAAGTTCGACTTCTACCTGGACAACGACGCCCACGAGAAGACGAACGTCGACCCCCACGCCCAGCGCCTCGAGCGCAAGTTCAACGAGAAGCTGCGGAG